GCGCGTGCTAATTGGTAGTATTGCATCGACTCGGGGTTCTGAGCAGCCCGATCAAGGTCCAACAATGTGCCGATTGCCAAGACCATGAAGAGGACAGCCAGACGGTGTGCATTGATGGATGTCTGGAATGTGCCATCCTGATTATAGATAGGTCGAAATACACTTTCGAAAAAGTCATTCTCTGGTATCGGAGTATACCTAGAGGGAACGCGTGAGATAGACCTATGATTAAACTGACCACATGACGAACATCCATGCTGCATGCCCAAAATACGTCTCGCAAATTTTCCTTGCGACATTCGGTCGTGGTAGAAAACTGATGACCGATCCCCGAAGGGTTTCTGCTGCCTTAATCGCCGATGGAGAGAACGGGAAGGCGAAACTTAGCCATGGGATGTCGGTTGGTTGGGGCGAACCATGGCCTGAACTATCTTCCGATTCCTCGTAGCCTTCCTCGTTCTTGAAACACGTAAGAATATGAAGAAAAAGTACAAGACAAGGCATACTTGAAGGAGATACTGTGGGTGTTGTAAGTCGATCAACCCTGATTCTTGAGTGCTTTAGTCCAAGTACGCACCCAAGAATTTGCAGTTTGACCAAAAAAGGTTGAGCGACCGCCATGGGAAATTGATCTTAGAATCGGTCAGTACGTGATGACAGCGGTGATGAACCGGGTACTTACAGAGAACCCATTGAGTCTATGTTGTCATTTAGGTCACCCTTCTCGTCTTTCCCGTTAGGGAGATCGAGGCGTTCACGCTCTAGCGGGCGTTTAATCTGAAGAAGTTCTTCAGCCAATAATGGGTGTGGGAAGTTGGAGTGCACTGCGTATGATTGTGCAAGGGCATCTTCTAGTGACCGGACGCGGTTTGACAGCTGATTTATCTTTTCATGGAGGACTTCGGTGTTGGCTAATACGAAGCTATTGTACATCATGAGCGCCAATAAGGCGGGCGATGCAGGAAACTCACCGATTTCCCTTGCCGGTCGTTAATGAGCCTAGCCACGCGTGTATCAGTGCGGTAGCATATCGCGAAGGAAATTGAGGCTGCACACACCTTCTGGACAAATCGCGGAGCAACCTTTCTTGACACAGTTACTACACCAATAAGTGAATCCACCGGAGATGAGAACGAGCGGCGACAGGACATACGAGCATGGGAAGTTGCGGCTGCATCTATGGAAATGACCTCATGTGAGTGTATGTACTCTAACGCTTCAAAAGACAAGCGAACTTGAGTTTGAGCCTAGAATTGAATGTGAGGGTGCGTCGCGTGTGTGAGGTATCTGGCTTACCTCCTGCATTCTGCACACGAGAGAGCGACGCCGCGACGCTTGTGTCTGATGGGAAGAGTGGGCACATCTGTAGGATACGGCGTCGAGGACATGAACGAGGGGAGATGATGGTGGTTACAAGAAAGTATTGGAGGGTCGGCTAAGACGATCCTCCGTTAAGACGCCTCATCTCCCAAGGAAGCCTTCGCTGCCTTATCGGGGCTTTCCACCACGCGGCTATATTTGCTTCTGTTTGGCCCCGCCTATAAAAAAAACTTTCCGATGCTATTCTCTCTTAACACGGTCAAGGTTAGTTCCTCTACCTCTTTCCCCCTTTTGATGATTTCTAGATGACGAGTCTGAACCCCGTGCGACAGAGTTTCTCTGTCTCGCCGGAACGTGACGAGTCTTTACTATTTATACCATTCATGCTTTTCTGATCCCTTCACATCTTTTTTTTGTCATGGATCTTTTCTGACATCTTGCTTTTCACAGTCGGTGCAATGTCGCCAGCTCACGAAGACAACTGGTCAGACTCAGATGATGTGGGATCAGACATGGAAACATCTGTTTTGTTGGGTGTACCGGATGGCCTCGTGCAGTCCGATACAGATATCAGTGACGCTGCCGTCTCTCGTATTGGAGGGCACCCTGTACGAGTTATCTCGCCAATGTACTTTGATATTGAATACCTATGCTTATATGCTTTCGAACAAGGCTTTTCTTCCTTCTCGTGCACCCCCTTTTTCTTCGTCGCAGTGCAAAGTTTGTTCAAATCCCTGCGAACTTCTCGTACAGATGTGGTGTCCGTTTGAGGATAGTCCTATGGATCGCGCCCTTTATGTTTGGGGTTGCGCCAAACCTTCATGTCAGGGCAAATCAGGCAGGTGAGGTTAAATCGCCGGCAACATTTCCCCGATCGTACTCATTAGGCTGCCTTCATGATCGTGACTACATTACATCAGTGTGCGAGCGTGGAGAGGTTTACGCCGAAACGACAAGTACGCAGCGAAACTTGAGATCAAACTTGCCAAAAAGCGTGCTATTCAGGAAGCCAAAGCTCTTACTGAACAGCAGAAGAATACACCCAAGAAGAATCCATTTTCGGTATGTAGCGTAATGATGAGTTGAAATGGAGATTCCAACTCATATTCGTAGATGAACGCTCCACCGGCTGTAGACATGTTTGGAATTGGAGCACAGATATTCGGAAATACTTCTTCATCAACAAATGTCGCCGAGCCGAAGCCCGATGAAAATGACCACTCCGAGAAAGAGAACCACTTAGCCGAGCCTAAGCCCGATGAAAATGACCACTGCGAGAAAGAAAACAATCATGCGAATGACGAATCATCGTCTGAAGATGAGCTTCTCTCCGTGATGGCGTCAGTTACCCTCACCGATTCGCCTTGGAAAGTCGCACCCTCCTATCCACCGCTTTATTTATCCACGGTATCGGAATATCTTCCCCCACAATCAAAGCCAAAGGTTATGCATGAAACGCAAATTGATTTGGATGACGATGATCGCAAGGGCGGCAAGGACAAAGATATCTCATGGGCGTCTGAGCCATATGAAGGTTCCCTTGAGATGGACCATGTCTTTGAACGGTTCACCAAACGTGTTGCTTATGAAGGTGAACAGTGTGTCCGGTCGGTCTTTCCGTACTATATATAAACTCGGACACATTCTCACCGATTCCAGGTATGAGCTAAATGGCACGCCGCTGCCTTTCTCCTCCGACAAGATCTTTGCCTCGCTCTTCCCTTCCCCACCAGCGCCCACCATCCCTGTCACCAAAGGGGCTTTCTCTGTCGTAAATGCTCCAAAACGCACTTACTTCCCCACCGATATCCCGGCATGTCCAGCCTGCCGCAGTAGACGTGTCTTCGAGTGTCAGCTCATGCCGAACCTCATCAATGTTCTCAGGCGCCCCACTGATGCTGAGAAACAGCAGACGGACGAGGAGCGGCGGAAGGCGGTGGAGCTTTTATTGAAGGCCGGCGCGTCGGACGAGTGGGGGATGGATTGGGGGACGAGTATGGTGTTTTCCTGCGAGAAGGATTGTTGTTTCGATGAGAATGGGCTGGAGGCAAGAGAATGCTGGAGGGAAGAAATTGTTCTGATTCAGGCGGCTATTTGATCTATCTTTGAGAGTATAGATTACATTCAAGATCATATTAGTTTGAAGATGATGAGAAACATGTAACCAATTGATTGAGGTCGACGTGGATGTGGCGTGGCGTAATTCAGACTGATAGAGCGTTATAATGGTACGTTAGTCGTGGAATTCGTGCCCAACTGCATTAAGTCCCATACTCGGCACTTATTGGTCGGCTGATCAGCCGGCTGTTTTTTTTTCTTTCTCCTAGACCCTTTGGGGCGATGCCCTATGTCAGTCTGCTACCTCTGTACAGTCTGTATGTAACTCCCCTGTCATAAGTCGACTACTATTATGTATGTGATCATTGTGTCCGGAAATGGGCTCCTGTCCGGATCATTCCTATCTGGCCTGTTTTTGCCACAACATTTCAAAAACAGATGTCAGCACAAAATATTTCTGTGTTCGACTCTGAATACTCTGGAATACTCTGGGGACATACACAGTGATACATGGTCCGGGAAGCATAACATTGTGGCACGTAGTTTTTTTTTGTTGTGAAGATAGACTGAAAGGCTTTTGTTCGGCCGAAGTTGGGTGGCATGATTGTCAACATTATGATAGACAAAGAAAAGATGAGACTGACAGGTACATCATTGCCAGATTGACAGAACAGAAAAAAAAATTAAAAAGTGATAAGAGGTCGGTCTCGGGAATGGGGGTGGCGTTATGCTCCTCGAGTATGTAATAGCGATATTTTCCCGAGAAGTTCAGATTGCATCCGGAGACTTGCCACTGATCCATCGGTACACCTCTAAGGGTCATTTTGAACCGAGTGATCCGTTACGAAAGGGTCCTTCGCGTGGATGATCGAGGCTTGAGTGTTGTCTGGATGGAGACAGCGAAGAGAAATTCGGAATAAAGGACTTGAAAAGGGTCGAAATCAAGATATCTCGACACCGATGTCGACGGACATTACGTATGTCATGACTTTCAAACTGCACACGGCGATGGTCGACTCATCACGGGCGCGCTTTGCATGCGCGTCTAACAGAGCAAACTTCGATGATCAGCATGGCTAGAGGGCCATCCAACTAAGAAATCACGTATAATGGTTGGATTCAATATTCCTGAGAAAACAAACCTCCAGATCGTACCGTGGAAAGCCATGAGCGAACGGGGTCTTTTTTCCACCAGAGAAAAGGTTAAAATGGTCCCCTTCGCGCGGGCGTCTTAGATAGTGCTCTTCCTTGGGTCAGCTTACAGTCGAAGGGTAGGACTTGTTAGGACATCGAATATGACAGAATATGACGGTACGACATACTCTGGAGGCAGCGTTAAGCGTTGAACTATGGGAGCTGGCGTGGCCGGGTACGTCGATTAATCAGATTCACAGTCGTCGATCGTTGTCACTTGGAATGATTGCACGTATGTCCTTGGAAGTATGAACGTCCTGGTATAAAGATATATGGATCCGGAGTGCTCTGGGACCTGAGGATTGAGCACATCCTCATAGAACTAAAACACTGTCCACAGAGGTATATATAGTTGTGATACTGAAATTGTTCCCTTAAATAAATGAATCAAGCAAGCTAGAAGGTAGAGAGATCTTAAGAAAGAAAAATGGACACACCCGGAATTGAACCGGGGACCGCCCGCAAATACTAGTTGGTATGCTAAGCGGGCGTGATAACCAACTACACCATGTGCCCATTGATTACCTCATATGTACAATGTTTATGTCAGATTGAATTTTTCGACTGGCCTACCTTTGCTTCTTATGGCTTCGATCTCTTGGAAGGAAGCAATAGAAACAGACACTCGTGAACATCTCTTTCTTGATAGAGGCTAGTGAGAATTTTTCTAATCAACGATTAACTTTGTAGAGGTAAAGAAGACAGCACAGGGTAAATTTTATATTACAAGCCGGTACGATACGGCATATCACGCTACGGGAGTGAGAAACACCAAGTCACTTGAAGCAATAACGAAACTGAAGCCGGGGGGGCAAGGAAACCTATAAAAGTAATGAGACTATAGATACATAACGCTCGCAGCGTCCATTCCACCGCTTGTTGATAGATCACATCGCAAAGTCAGCTACAAAGTCATTCCAGGTGGACTGCATATTTCCTTCCGGTGATCCGGAGGACCGACGCTGGTTATGGGGGACAGGGTGTGCATCGAGCATCGGTGTATCTCCATAACCAGTGACTCCATTGACATGGCCAGTCGCATTCGCCATGTCCGTGTGATAATCATAAACCGGGAAGTACTGGGGAAGGGTATGGGATGTTCCTTGATGCATATTTCCAATTATGACATTATGATGCTGGCTATGCTGCGGAGAGTACTGGTGTGTCGGAGAGGCTTGCGTGTAGTGTTGTGAATGTGAAGAATACACGTCCGGTTCCGTCTGGAAAGTAGGCGAAACAAGCACTGTCGACATGCCATACACGGAAGCGGGGGATACACCGTCAGAATACGCGCTATGATCGTGGCCACTGCTTGAACTAGCAGAGTCATGTCGAGTGGATAGTGTGTGTGAAGAGCTCCCGTGGTTTTGCTGAGGTTCTTGACGATTGAAGGAGTCCAAATATTCTAAGATACTAGGGTGAACTTGGCGTCCAAGGCTTATGGGGACGACAGGTTTCTGGGAGGTAGGTGACCGATCGAGAAGAGTCGGCGACGATGGTTCCTTCTTTGCAACCAACCGTGTCTTGCCACCTAGGATTGACAGCTCGTCGTCATCATTCGCGGGTGAATTGGGCTCAGTCGGCGAAGGGCCGTATTTAGACGTTGGGGAACCTCTCCCCTTTTTATACTCCTCTAGACTAAAGTGTGCCTTCTCTTGCAAGGTTATCATGATACTCTAAAACCCGGTATTAACTTTCTTTGTACGACGCGCCTTGGAATTGAGGGGACAAAAGACTTACTAGCACTTTCTGAGCACGGAATCCTCGTGCAGCTTTCGAGAAAAGCTCACAAGCCGAGTCGAGTTGGACGAGAGCAGACGGTGCTAAGCTCATTGAAGGACACCGTGTCACGATAGACCCCAAAACAATCTTTCATGCCTGAGCGACGTTTGTTCAGGATAAAAAGAGTCAAGACCTACGGCACAAGAAAACATATGGGTCCACAAAAACCATATTCTCTCGCTAAGCTCTTTCAACTGAGTGTGGAGATTCCGCATCAATGCCACCAATGACCCCGCACTACGGTAGGCTGCGATAACAGAGGTTCCGTAAGGACTCCCAAGGGGATCTTTCGCGTGATCACTGATCGCGCGTGCAAAGAAACTTCTGTGCAAATATAACAAATCTGTCGATGCATCGTTATTTACTGCAATGACAAGCATTGTAAGAATCCGAGGCATACTCATCTCCCTGATAGCCAATACAATATGCCGTTGGAGCGTTAACATCACAGTATCGGGAAACCCACCGGACCGTGGCTCTGAGTTGCCGAAACCAGCAACTTGGAGTACAGGAGGCACCGGGAAGGCCCGCATCTTCCGATCCAGTTGCAAAATGGTAGCATATGTCGGCATCTTCGCGCCGAATGCTTGATCGTGGAAGAGATTCATGCATTCGGAAGTGAACCGATGCTTCCATGCGTAGTCTGACATAGAATATATTAGCTTGATCGCAAGTCGGACGAGAAAAGGAAAAGAAACACATACAACTTTTATCGTCTGAGGGATTATCAATGAAAGGAAGTTTGGAATCCACGTGGGCCAAAGAGAAAGAAGGCGGACGGCCAAAGGTAAGGCACTGCCATGAATCATAGGTGAAAAGCTCCCAAAACAATTCCCGTCGATGCTGTGTCTCTAAAGACTCCACTTTCCATCGCCCACTGTCTCGATCTACACCACACAACATGAACTCGGGGGGAAACTGATGTAATGGATGAGTTTTCACTCACGTAACCCGATCTACCAACCCGTCATCTCAGTGGATAGACATTGTCAAGCAGCAAAATAACTCACGCTCTGTCCCAATTTGATTGCGACCCCCATAATAGCCCATCGAGCCCCGGAACTATTGCCATGACGATCAGCGAGAAACATGTAGAATGACATGAGAAACTAGTAAGGTCAGGATCAGATAAGGTTCTTGTGGCCTTCAAGAAACTTACTAAGGCCTGCACAGCCTGAATGGTTGGCTCATCGAAGATGGAACTTGAGAAGAGAGCTGCCCTAGCGAGTTGATGATATTTCTCGGCCTCCAAGTTGTACGCTGGAAGCCCGGTATCTACGAGACAACCGATTGCAAGCACCATAAAGAGAAGGGAAAGCCGATGTGCGGCCTGGGGGTCATTGGATTGGATTCCTGTGTCAGACCCATAAAAGTGTGAGTAGATTTGGGAGTCGAAAATCTCTTGGGATATGGGGTTGTACCTGCATCAGAATTACTAATGGAAGCGGAGTGTCAATCAGCCGACTTACATCCATGCTGCATGGTTGTAATACGTTTGGCGGAGTTCCAGAGCTTTGTTGGCAGCTGGAAGATACCAACAAAGTGCTTGCGGACTGAGTTGCTCGCTCTCGAGAGCAGGAGCAGCAGAGTCAATTGGCAAGGCAGAGGCTTTCTTCAGTACGTCTGGAGAAAGGACAGTATGGAGGATTGCCGAACGATTTTCAGCTTCATCTTCCTCTGGATCCTCGTTCTTAAAAATGATAATCAGACCCAGCCAAAGACGCCTGAAGACCGTCAAACCTGAAGAAAGTACTACGCCGTACATCTCAGCTTCTCACTCTGGAATATTTCCCATAAACAGACTTACCCATGAGTTCGCTTGTGTACCATAGTATTTTGTACGTCCTGATATGGTTATTGATAAAGTCCCGAAAGCATCGACTATGTCTGGATTCTGTTCCTCTTCCTTCACTGGAGGCGCATTTTGATTTCTCATAGTTGCTGGCTCCCGCTGCAGTGGAGCTTTTATACGCAGAAGCTCTTCCGTCAGCAATGGGTGTACTTCTGAAGATAACTGAGAATGTGAAGTTCGTAGCCCGTCTTCCAGCTGTCGGACGCGGTTCGCCAATTCGGATATTTTCTCGTGTAGTTCTTGCGTAGAAGCGAGAACAAATCTGTAAAGACCATCATGGGTCATATTTCTGTGCTGGAAATTCTCATTTTACCGATTTCCCTGTCCAGTCGTGAGAGAACCCTATCGAATATACCTCGTAAGCAGATAACGGGTCACAAACAACAAGCTCAGCGCACCTCAGGGCAGATGGCACCACAACCGCGTTTGACGCATGAGCCACAGGGGACACATCGATCACATCGCAGTTTGAGTCTAACGAGGTCGTCAAATTAGTCCGATATCGCCAGATACTGCTTACCGACGGCACTCTGCACAGCTGAGGCGGGTTGCCCCCTTTCGTTTCTTCTTGATAGGCACTGGCATAACACCAGCAGCAATGAAGGGTCTCTGGTGTGGAGCGGAGGAGGAGGACATGGGAGGCGAAAATGATGAGTGTACGAATCAAAGATTGTTGAACGCATGACTATACTTCTTAACACTCGATTTTGCCAAAGTAGCCAGTCTTCGGAGATTTCCGAAATCCAGAGATACTTCCGTCCAGTCAGTGGCTGTGCCTCGTCCTTTTTGTGCAAGCGCCGAGTTTGCTGTTGTTATGCTCGACAACTCATGATACCGGCCTTTTCACCCCAGATTTTCTTCTTCGAAGAACTGGATATATTGATCTATCATCTTTGACTATCGACAACTGGTGTGACTTCTTCTGACAAATTGGTCATGGCAACAGCGCCTGGCCCTCGGCAGTCTGTGGGAGATTTCTCTCGGCGGCGATCGTTGACTTGATGATGTTGACACCTCGAAGTTAAGTACATACTTATTTTTTATCACCAAGAGCAACGAACTGTCATGTCAGCCTGATCCGACAGGATAGGTCAAGTGCACCTAACCTCATGCCTCAGGCCCCAAGCTCCGGCACTATCCTTTGCTCAACATACTTCTGTACGTCCCTTCAACTACATCACAGCATTCGATATGGTTAGATATCATACATACCATAACCAAGAGCAATGACATGTCATCTTCAGCCCGTACCGAGGACCTGCTATCCAGGTTTCCCTCTCGCTGGATTAGGCTGTCTTCTTCCTAAAGCACCCGTACTCCTTCGAACAAGAAACGATAACCTCGGCTTAAGTAACTATAAGGCATCGTGGGACCTTTAGCATTGCAATTGGTCCTTTTCCAGCCCCTGCTTCTTGAGCACCTGACAGTTCTGATCAGTGGCGCGCCTCGATTTGCCCGTGCCCCATGGCACTTGACACTAGGATTTCACCAGACCTCGAGGCTCAAGTTGATCGAACGCTGATCCACGATTGCCTCCGATGTGTACCATTCACGCCACACGGTCTGTTTAGTTCTCCGACAAGATAGATCCACATCTTCCAGAGGTCGGCGATTGCTCCTCCCCTAAAGACCAGTCTTCGTCCTCAATTGAGCTGCCGTCTATACTGAGGTTGCACTCATCCGCTGCTGGCTGGCTTTATGTCAAAACATTGAGTTACGTCACGGTCTCTAACCAATTCAGTGGGTTACCTGACGTAAATAACCCACGCGCTATTGGCAATGATATTACATGCAATGGAAGCTGCAGTAGGGCAGCCATAATATCTTGAGTTGTTACCAGCCCGCACAGGCATCAACAAATGAGACACCAGAAGACATTACT